CACTGGGGTGTGTACAGATTCCGGAGGGGCTCCTACAGCCCAAGCGCTATAATCTGCACGGACAACTCACGTGCTGCACGGGTAACTCACGTGCTATAATATCATATCAGAATCCACACGGACAACTCACATGCCATAATAAGCCAATAAGGCCTGCTGCAGGAGGGCAGCCCCGATCCATATAATAGTAATAATATATATAAAGCCAACATGGCCTGCTGCGGCGTGCAACCCGATCCCAAAATATCTTCACAATCAGGCCCTTGGCCTCCCTCAATCATCAATCTCTCCAGTCAGTCTCTCTCATGGGCTCACAATGTCATGAGAATAGCCTAAAAATGATGATATGATGCATCAATAAATAACAACAGAGACTGAGATATGATATGCAATGAAATGAATATGGCTGAGTATGAATTTTTAATTTAAACAAATAATTCACATCAATATGACCTTTGTGGGTCCCAATAATACTGGCACATAGCCTCAACATGATTTTTAATATACTTTTCAGCTCAATTTCTTTAACTCATAAAACGCATGAAAAATGCCAAGATCATTTAACTACAAAATTCTACAGAAACAATTATGTCACAATTTTTATAGTGCACGCCCGCACGCCCGTCACCTAGCATGTGCGTCACCTCCCAACAATTCACGAAATACATATATTCAGGATTCATACCCTTAACTCCAAGATTAGAAGAGTTACTTACCTCGAACAAGCAAAATCCAATATCGAGCAAGCTAAGCAATGCTCCACAAATTTCATTCTGCGCGTATCAGACTTCCAAACGGCTCGAATCTAGTAACAATAATTTGACTCAGTCCACACAATTTATAAGAATTAATTCCATATCAAAATGCTAATATTTTCCATAAAATCCGAAATTACACCCCAAAAATCACTTGTGGGGTCCACATCTCAAAATTCGATGAAACTCACAAAATACGACAACTCATCCAATTACAAGTTCAACACTACTTATTTCACTCAAATCCGACTCCAAATCGGTATTCAAACTTGAAAAATTCATTTTGTGACATTATAGAAATTTCCTTCTAATTCTCTTGAAGATTCAATAATCTTATACAAAAAATGAAGATTAATTCATAGAATATAATCATAAGGGAGTTAAGAACACTTACCCCAAGTTGTGAGGAAAATTTCCTCTCCAAAATCGCCCAACCCGAGCTCCAAAATCCGAAAAATGTGTGAAAATGACGAACCCTCGAATTTAAGGTTCTGCCCCAGCGATTTTCGCATTTGCGGACAAGATTTGCGCACCTGTGCCTCCGCTTGTGCGAGCAAAATGTCGTATTTGCGAACTCCACTCACCTGCCCTGTTTCCACTTCTGCGCGCATTCGTCCGCATCTGCGCTCACGCAGGTGCGGAATTTTCCCTCACACCTGCGCCCAGTGCCTCACAGCCCTCTGCCCGCATCTGCGCTCCTTCTCGCGCAGGTGCGATTGCGCAACTGCGAAGCTCCTTCCGCACCTACGCTCCTCGTTTCAGCGCACCCCTGCTCGCACTTGCGAGCTCGCACCTGCGACCACTTTTTCGCAGGTGCGATTACACCAGAAGCATTCAGTTCCAGCAGTCTTTCAAATTTAAAAATCAATCCGTTAACCATCCGAAACTCACCCGAGGTCCCCGGGACCTCAACCAACTATATCAACAAGTCCCATAACATAACACAGACCTACTAGAGGTCTCAAATCATACCTAACAACCTCAAAATACGAACTACACACAGATTCAAGCCTAATAAATTTCCAAATTCTACAAACGACGCCGAAACCTATCAAATCACGTGCGATTGACCTCAAATTTTGCACACAAGTCACATTTCACATTACGGACCTATTTCAATTTCCAGAATCAGATTTCGACCTCGATATAAAAAAGTCAACACCCGGTCAAACTTTTCAAAAATTCAACTTTTGGCAATTCAAGCTAAATTCTAGTACGAACCTCCAAATAATTTTCCGGACACAGTCCTAAGTCCAAAATTATCATACGGAGCTATTAAAATCATCAAAATTCGAATTCGAGGCCGTTTACACATAAATCCGCATCCAGTCACTATTTTAACTTAAGCCTTTAAACCTTGGAACTAAGTGTTCCAATTCCTTCCAAAACCTCACTGGACCCGAACCAATTACCCCGGCAATTCATACAATAACTGCAAAGTACAATTTGAGAAGTAAATGGGGAAACAAGGTTGTAATACTCAAAACGACCGGCCGGGTCGTTACAAATCTTGAAGGGCTATACAGATGCTGATATGGCAGGTGACATTGATAACAGAAAATCCACTACTGGATATTTGTTTACATTTTCAGGGGGAGCTATATCATGGCAGTCTAAATTGCAGAAGTGTGTTGCACTTTCAACAACTGAAGCAGAGTACATTGCCGCTATAGAAGCTGGCAAGGAGATGGTATGGCTCAAGCGGTTTCTTCAAGAGCTGGAATTGCATCAAAAAGAGTATGTCGTCTATTATGACGGTCAAAGTGCAATAGACTTGAGCAAGAACTCCATGTACCATGCAAGAACAAAGCATATAAATGTGAGATATCATTGGATTCATTAGCAGGTGGAGAACGAATCTTTACAGGTAAAAAAGATTCACACGAGTGAAAATCCTGCTGATATGTTGACCAAGGTGGTACCAAAATACAAGTTCGACCTATGCAAAGAACTTGTCGGCATGCACTCAAACTAGAAGACAGTGCTACCTCCTCTAGATAAATAAGACTGGATGAGGAGATTGATGGGTTGCATCTCATTCAATAGTCAAAGTAATAGGCATGTGCCTCAGAAAATTTTATTTGGTTTGGTAGGCAACTTTGTTGAATTTCTTTGGATTGGTAGCCAACTTTGTTTGTCAACATTGAAGAAAAAGAAGGAAAAGTGTGTGTAAATTATCAAATATAGTAGGTTTTAGAGAGTGAGGCTTCGGCTATAAAAGGAGAGTTTCAACTCTCATTTCCACACACCAACAAAGAGAGAAAGAAAGAGTGAGGTTTCACAGACAAGGTATAAGAAAATAGTTTGTGAGAAAAATAGAGAGTGAGCGATATTGTAATGAGGTGAGAATATCAAAAGAGGGTTATTTCTTTTGAGTGTTGTAGTGGTCTTTGGAGTATTTTACTCGGACCTACAAAGTGTAAAATTCCTTGCTATAGTGATATCAATTGCTCGTCTCGGGGTCGTGGTTTTTTTCCTTATTCAAAGGGTTTTACACGTCAAAATTTTGATATCGTTGTAACTTTTTTTCTTGCTAATTACCGTATCTCGGTGCTACGTGATTGTTCCGCTTCTATTACTGCAAATTTGCAGAGAGTTTATTCCCAACACATACTTTATTTTATTGTGATACTTTGACAAAACAAGCAGTTGACTTTATTGTTTGCTAACATAGACTGACTGATTCAACATTTAGAAGATAATAGCTTGATTAGTGAGAAATTCTTTTGAATTTCAAAAGTGGAAAACTACAGGAAAGATCTTTGAATCTCAGTATCGAAAAAAGTACATTAAGCTCCTAGTGAAAGACAAATTTAGAAATGAAATAGAAGAATGACACTTCGATAAGCTCCTGAGCAGGCGTTAGCCTCTATACATGATCTTGCGATTTTTGACGCAAACCTATGTTTTTGATAACTAGTTGCTCTGAGATCCCCTTACGAGGAGGCACCTTTTTTCCCGAAGGTACGGAGACCAGTTGTAGCATTAGTACTTTTATTTGCATTCTTTTGTTTAATCTTAGCTTATAAATATAAAAAATAAATATATTTTTCATATTTTATTGGCGTTGGAACTAGTTATGCCCCCTCCAAAAAATAAAACACTACATGCTTTCCTTTCCATTTTCATTGCTCTTTCATTTGAGTAGATATTACAAGTATTTGCTCTAAATTCTCAATTCAAAGCACACCCCAAGCACAGACAATGAAGAAAAAGAAAAAAAACGTAATTGTTCCAAGAAGCTGGTAAGTAATACTCAGACCAAAATTCCAAGCTATTCACAGGATGCATATGCCTATGATCTTGATCATGTTCTGCACAACTAACAGAATTTTCCATAGCGAGGCCTTGAGCGCCGAAACAAAAGTATTGATTCCTTAAGTCCAAATTTGAAATATTTGTTCAAAGCCCTGAAACATAATCAATGGCAAGAATATTTAAACCTCCTTATCCCTTCGCCTCTAGATCATCCCCATTTTCAGATTTAACTTGTGAGCAATCCAAATCTCTTTCTATATTTGACCAAGTTTTGAATTTTATGGACTCTTGTCAAAGCTTGGCACATCTCTTTCAAATTCAAGCCCGTTTGATAGTCAGTGGTCTTTTACAAGTCCAAAACCCATCATTTTCTTGCAGACTTTTAAATCTCTGCTTTCATTATTGCGATATAAATTATACTGCGTTGGTATTTAAATGCATTGACTTTCCTAATGCATTTTCTGTTAATACTGTTATAAAGTCTTATGCTTGCAGTTCTATGCCACATAATGCTGTGCTATTCTATTTCGAAAGGCTGAAAAACGGTCATTTTGCTCCTAATAGCTTTACTTTTCCACCCCTTATGAGCGCTTGTGCAAATACGGGTACACGTCGTTTGGAGTTGGGCCAGAAGTGTCATGGCCAATCTGTGAAGAATGGAGTTAATGGGGTTTTGCAGGTTCAGAATTCTCTGGTGCATTTGTATGCTTGTTGCGGGTTTATTGGTCTTGCTAAGCAGGTGTTTGATGAAATGACTGACAGGGATGTTGTGTCTTGAAATAGCATTGTGAATGGATATGTGAAAGCGGGTGAATTAGTTGTTGCACGACAGTTGTTTGATGCAATGCCTCAGAAGAATCTAGTTGGGTGGAATGTCATGATGACTGGATATTTGAATTCTCATAACCCTGGCAAGTGCCTGAAGTTGTTTCGAGAAATGGCACAACAGGGATTGAAAGGTAACAATGCGACTATAGTCATTTATTGCTTGCGCTCGGTCAGCTCGAATGAATGAAGGAAAATCTGTTCATGGGTCTCTTATTAAGGTATCTAAAGATTTGAATTTGATTATTAGTGCGACTTTGATCCATTTGTATAGTAGATGTGGAAGAGCAGAAATTGCTCGTCTAATTTTTGATAGGATGTTGGTCAAGAACATAGTATGCTGGAATGCAATGATTTTGGGGTATTGCATTCATGGAAACCCAAAAGATGGGCTTAATCTGTATGCAGACTTGGTGAATAGAGGGTCAGAAGATACAGAAATAAATCGTGTTAAGAACATGAAGCAAGTTGAAGGGGATTGTGTGCTTCCAGATGAAATCACTTTTGTTGGTGTCTTATGTGCTTGTGCCCGTGAAGGACTGCTAACAGAAGCAAGAACACACTTTGGCGACATGAGTGATGTGTTTGGTGTGAAGCCCAATTTCGTACATTATTGGTGCAAGGCTAATCTTCTAGCACATGTTGGTCTAATGCAAGAGGCAATACAAATACTAAAGAACATGACAATAGAGAGCAATTTGCCACTGGAATCCTCATTGTGGTCTGAATTGCTTGGCTCAGCTCGTTTTTGTGGGGATGTAATTGTAAGAGAACAAATTGCAAATAAGTTAATTGAACATGATCCCGAGAATTTTCGGTATTATTTATTGCTGGTCAACATCTATGCTGCAGCCGGTCGTTGGGATGAAGTAGCTCAAACAAAGCAGAGGATGAAGAAGAGGGGGATGGAAAGAGTGCCAGGTTGCAGTTTAAAGGACTTGAAGGAATTATTTCACAACATGATAGCGACATAAATTGCAGGTGAATCTTTTGTGTTATTCTAGTTAGAGACATCTTATGTATACTAACATGCGGAAAAATTCCCATCATGGTTTAACTGAAATAATTTTTAATATTTTATAAAATAATATAATGACAGTAAATATTTATAAACATGTAAAATTGTANGCCTGTAATTTGAACTTTGAACTTGCTGCTACGAAGGAGAATGTAGTTCTCTTTGTATTTGTAAAAATAATTAAATATTCATTACTTTTGGGAGATATTAGCAGACTAGCGGACAAGATAAAGAATTGGGAAAGACCATGAATTAGGGTTTCAATCAATAAAAAAGGTCTTGACTTTTAAATTTGATACTTTTGAGTTCCTTTTAAACCTTTTGAGTAATTACCAAACTGACTTTTGAGAATTTGAGTATTATATGAAGGACTTATTTAACAAATTTTATTTTAATTTGAAAAGGTCTCTGGGGCTTACTCCTCACTAAAAAAACGCGCCTCGAACGCCCGGGCGTACGCCCCGAATTGCTGGGCGTACGCCTCTTGAGACTTTCGCCCCACACCATCGCCCCGGGACTCGTCCCGAAAACGCCTTTTAAAACACTGCCAATTATTTTCGTTATTACTATTGTTAAATTATCAAGGAAGTTGTAATATGGCCAATTTTTCATGACATTTGCCATGACATAATATCCATTATAACAAAATTTGTGGATCATGACATTTGTCATGACATAATATCCATTATTAGGCCAAGAATTTCTTGCTATAAATAGAGGAGCTTCTCATTTGCAAACACACCAATTCAAGAGTTTTTCATTATTGTCTTTCTTTCTCCTCCTTTATTTCATTATAGAGTATATTGTAAGAGAGAGTGTTGGGAAACACTTGTGTGAACCCTTTCTTTGGAGTGATCTTGTGAGGTTATTCTCTTGGGGTATTTGAGACTAATTAGAGTTTTTATACTCTATTTTGTACTCTTGTTGGTATAGTGAAATTGCTCCTCTCCGCTTGTGGACGTAGGTCACCTTGACCGAACCACGTTAAATTTGTGTTTTCTTTATCTTCTTTAATTGCCGTTATTATCAACTTGCATTGTCTTTGTTATTGTCATTATAACATTGTTTTGCTAAATTTCGCACTACTCGGTTTACCGATCCTAACAAATTGGTATCAGAGCCAGATCTAACCGGATTAGTTTAAATAGCCAAAATGACTCCAACAAAGTCTTATGTTGAGAAATTTGACCGAAGCGCAAACTTCAGAATGTGGCAATTAAAGATGGAAGCTATCCTAATTCAGGATGACTTAGATTTGGCACTGCAAGGAAAGGAAAGGAGAAGATGCCAGATAAAATGATGGACGAGGAGTTTGCCGTCATGGACAAAAAGGCAAAAGAGGTATTATTTTAAATCTTTCAAATGAGGTTTTACGTGAAGTTGCAGCAGAAAGCTCAGCCAAAGACATATGGGAAAAGCTTAAAACCCTATATATGAAAAGAACAGTAGAAAACAGGCTTTACCTAAAGCAAAAACTCTACACTTTTCGTATGGCTGAAGGTACCTCTATACTTACACATCTTGATACTTTTGATTCTCTTCTTATGGATTTAAGTAACATAGATGCTGAAATCAAAGATGAGGATTAAGCTGTGTTATTGCTTGTTTCCTTACCCCAATCGTTTAAACATATAAGAGATAATATGCTTTATGGAAAGGATAATATCTCTTACAAAGATATTAAATCTATTTTGAAATCAAAAGAACAAATAGATAGAGATATTACTGGGGAAACTAGTGGGAACCAAGGAGAAGGCTTATTCATAAGAGGTAGATTCAATAAGAAAGATTCAAGTAGTGAGAAACCTAAATCAAGGTCAAAATCCAGATACAGAAATGTCATGTGCAAATATTGTCATAAGAAATGTTACATTATTTCTGAATGCTTTAAATTGAAAAACAAAGAAAAGCATACAGAAAAGAAAACTGAGCACAAAAATACTGACACTGCCGAAGCAAGTGTAGTTGCTGATGAGACTGAGAAAACTATTTTTTTAGCAACTAATAATAGTTTCAAATCTAACGAGTGGATTTTAGATTCGGGTTGTTCTTATAATATGTGTTCCAGTCGGGATTTATTTACCACATATGAATCTATTGGATGTGGAGTTGTCTTGATGGGCAACAATGCTGCCTGCAAAGTTCTTGGAAAAGGTACAGTACGAATCAAAATGCACGATGGTGTGGTGAGAACTCTCACCGATGTTAGACATGTTCCTGACTTGAAGAAAAATCTCATCTCTTTGGGCACTCTAGAATCTCTTGGGTGCAAGTACACAGGTGATGGTGGAGTTATGAAAATTTCTCATGGTGCTCTTGTGATCATGAAAGCACGCAGATCTGTTACGTTGTATACTCTTTTGGGATCTACCGTTGCAGGTGGTACTGCAGTTTCAATATCAGATAAATCAGATTCTGACATCACCAAATTGTGGCATATGCGATTGGGGCATATGAGTGAAAAAGGTCTTTCCATCCTCAGCAAAAGAGGTCTCTTATGTGGCCAAAGTACCGAAAATATGGACTTGTGAACATTGTGTGTTCGGGAGCAAAAAAGAGTCAGCTTCAAATCTCCAGCGATTCATAGAACAAAAGATACTTTGGATTACATTCATTCAAATCTTTTGGGGTCCTTCACGTACCCCATCAAAAGGTGGTGCCAGGTATATGTTAACTTTCATTGATGATTATTCAAAAAAAGTTTGAGTTTATTTCCTGAAAAATAAAAGTGATGTTTTCTTAAATTTCAAACAATGAAAAGTTTTGATTGAGAAACAAACAGGAAAACAGGTTAAATGGCTTAGAACAGATAATGGCTTGGAATTTTGTAATGATGAATTCAACGAATTTTACAAAATTGAAGGGATTGCTCGACATCGTAATGTGAGAATGACACCTCAGCAAAATGGTGTGACAGAAAGGATGAATAGAACTCTTTTGGAAAGGGCTCGTTGCACGATTTCAAATGTTGGGTTGACAAACGCCTTTTGGACAGAAGCTATCTCTACAGCTTGTTATATTGTCAACCGAGCTCCTTCTGCACCTTTGAACTTTAAGACTCCAGAGGAAATGTGGTCAGGTACTCCTGCTAATTATTCTGATTTAAAGATATTTGGTTGCCCTGCATACATGCATGTAAATGATGAAAAATTAGAGCTAAGGGCTAAAAAGTGCATTTTCCTTGAGTATGCATCTGAGGTGAAAGGATATCGACTATGGTATCTTGATCCCACGGCACCAAAATTTATAATTAGCAGAGATGTAACCTTTGATGAATCCTCTATGTTACATTCTAGAAAAGAGTCTTCTAGTTCTTGTAATACAGATAAAGGAAAGAGTACACAGAACCAGGTGGAGATTGAGATTGGCATTCCTTCTGAGCCAAGCTCATCAACTTTGGAGCAAAATACAGTTGAAACTCCTGAAGTTGAGATAAAAGCTGAAATTCCTGAAGTTGAGACTCCTGAAGTTGAACCAGAAGAAGAGGAGTATTCTATAGCCAAACATAGACCAAGAAGAGAAGGTAAACAACCATTAAATTTTGGAGATTATGTTGCATTTGCTTTTTCAGTTGCACAGGAAACTGAAGAAATTGGAGAACCATCAAAATATTCAGAAGCAGTTTCTGGTGCTGACTCAGCCAAGTGGCTGATTGCAATGAATGAAGAAATTGAGTCTCTCCACAAGAATGGTACTTGGTCTCTTGTGAAGCCGCCATCAGGAAAAAGAATTGTTGGTTGCAAATGGGTCTTCAAGAAAAAGGATGGCATTCCAGGGGTTGAAGATGCGAGGTATAAGGAACGATTAGTTGCAAATGGCTATAGTCAAGTACACGGAGTTGATTTTAATGATATTTTCTCACCTGTTGTTAAACATAGCTCTATTCGTGTCTTGCTT